AACCCAGAAGACAGAAATCTTCATACTCATCGCCCTGATGATGGAGGCAGTATGACCTCTGAAACGTTGGTTAACATCGACCAGACTACACAGCGCAATAACCCAGAAGACAGAAATCTTCATTTTTCCTATGTTTGGAGACTTTTGAATCACTCTGTATTTGCGAATGTTTGTGTTTTCTACATTAGATTCTCCCGCCAACCCTGTTTGTGTCTTGTGAAGCTGATAGTATTCTTACGAGTCAAGAACTTTCCCGCCTTTTATGGAACCCCACCACAGGTTCTTTTGAGTTGCTTATGTTAATGTCTCATTGATTTATTTGATTTTCAGGTATTCCTCCATCCGCTTTCGTCTCGTTCCATCATCAAGAGTTGATACAGCGTCGGTAAGTAAGCATTTGTATGCTTGGAAAAAAAAAATTGTGTGACATCTTGAGACAGATTTGTAAAGTGGAAATGCAGCAGACATTTTGCTGGTACACTTTTTGGTATCCACCCTGTGTCAGTCGTGACATTTTGGCACCATAGTAAATCTCCACAAATATCTTGACTCGCTCATTAGTCTTAGTTTGAAGACCATTCATTTCGCTTTCATGTGGGGAGATGCATTTATATTTTTGTTCCCAGTTCAACATCACGTGTTCAAAAATAGTACAGAACATTACTCGCTTCTGTGCTTTCAACTTCTTGTAATGCCATTAATAGCATTAACCTGGATGTCTGGTATTAAAGTGACAGGTTACTAGCTGAAAGGTCGAGGTTCAATACCCAACAGAGAGGAGACTTTTCTCTTTGGAAGCGACGTCAGGACCGGATATGACGCCCACTCACTTTTCAAGGGTCCATGCTTCTTCACTCATCGCCCTGAAATCTTGAATTTTTGTAAATAGCTTTTATAATAGATTCATCATCGTCAATAACTCTTTTATTCGTGTGTTTCGTAAGATTCTCAGAATAAACAGCGATTATTTCCTTGATCAGCGTTAACCAGTCGATCTTTTTAATGGTGAAGTGTAGTGTTTTCTTCGCGGTACGGACTGGATTCTTAAACGTTAATCAGATAATTCTCACCGTAACCAGCGATTATTTCCTTGATCAGCGTTAACCAGTCGATCTTTTTAATGGTGAAGTGTAGTGTTTTCTTCGCGGTACGGACTGAATTATATTAAATGTTACTTAGACGAGCTTCGGCTTCAAAGGGGTGATGCAAGTTTTGCGATCAGAGGTATGAAAATCAGTAGACACAAATAATCTGTGACTCTGTGTGTGAATAACTTTCCATCGGTAGATTATACACGCTGATCATCTGACAGTATTGTAATTTAATTACGTTGAACTTTGAATTGAACTGAACCAAAATTTTATTCATAGGCTGTAGCCCAGGATTCTGGTACGCTGTTTGCTAAGGGAAGATGAACTTGGGGCTAATGAGGTGTGAAAATTGCAAAGAACACAGTAGCGAATACGCCAACTCTAATCTAAAGTGTACGTTTGTATGATAGGTTGTGCTCAGGACGAGGAAATTCCATAATTGTTTCTTTATTTAATTAAAGAAGCTCTTTGAACTGCAGAGGGTATCAGATGTCAATTAATGACTGAACATTGGTGTATAAAGCTTGCATTTCTAAATGTCTTTGCAGGTTATAGGTCAGGGTCGGCAAACTGTGGCCGTCGAAGTCAATTTATGCGGCCCGCCACATAATTTGGTAATTATCGAATCCGAGAACAGAACTTTCCTGCTACTGAAGAAAACATTGATTATATAAAAATGGGATTTCAGCGTAGGGGTACTCAGTCGCAAAATCGAATATTTTAATGAAAAAAAATAATTTTGTAGATGTGAGCCTAAGACGTTAAAATCTCAAAGGCACATTTTTACATTATTCACAACGCATGAAATTAAACTCAACAATATAAAAATTTTTGTGGTTTTAATAACTGAAGTTATTTTATAAAATTATCAATGAACTGAAATCGAAATTTTTTGAAAAACCAACAAACACAGTCTTTACAGGAAACTCATTCGTGTGGATAAATACTTATGTTGTCTGTCTTCACGTGTTCTCTTTAGATTAGACACACGCAGTTTCGGTTACTGTCCACGACGTTTTTACCTAGGCCGTCGACAAGATATGACGAGGCATTGAGTTCCACGGTAATTAAAACTTCGCTGACCCGAAATGTAATACAACCGTATCTTAAAATCGTACAAACTAACGAATGGCGTTTCGTGTGTGACTCAAAGGCAGATTCCAGTTATAACTTCCGCCTGGAATCAACGTCAACATGGCGTCAGCAATCAGGAACATTAATGACGTTCCACATGACTGAGCTGATCTGATTCTAATGAACCCGAAGTACAGGGGGGGGGGGGGGGGGGGGGGGGGAGAAATTGCTAACCAAATTAGAGGAGCCAGGGGAGAGGGTTTCTTTGGAAGAAACTTGAAAGGAATTGCAGATGGGAACGTGTCTTGTCCGTTCACGTGTCATCACCGGAATGAACGGATTTTGATTAAATTTGGTGTCTGCATGAAATAATCCTTGATGAATTTTGCTCCTATCGCCGTAGTATAACTGTTTTGGTCGAAATCCTTGATGAATTTTGCTCCTATCGCCATAGTATAACTGTTTCGGTCGAGGGTGATGATATATGGTTTCACGATTAAATTAAAAATTGGCTAATCATAAATACATCTCCCCTTAAAATATGCAATTTTTTATTTTAAATATTTCTTGATATTCCAGACGTAAAGAAACACGAGGATAAATTATTAATGTAGAATATCTAAAATGTTACATTTTGTTGTTTTAGAAGTTTTCAGTCGTGGCGCGTTATTGCAAAGTGAAATTTTCTAAACTGCTTTAAAGCATTATGAAAATTAACAAGATGGCGACCATGAGAAAGTGTAGAAGGTGAAGTCAAGACTTCAGGATGCCAATTAATTTTACAGAAATTTAGAGAATTGAAGTAGAACGTATTGTACGTATGTAAAGATTTTCAGCGCATAAGCTGTTGCGTAGACAAACTGTCGACAGATTTCTCGTAGTCGCAGCGTTATTACGCTGTCAATTATCGATACATAATCGATAATCAAATTTCTTTCTTTGTCCCACTTTCAGAGTTGGTATGTTACCGAGAGAACGACTTGATTACTGGCATCATTAAAACAGTCAGCGTACCGAATAATCGTAGGTTTGACTCTCTTCTCCGATTCAGATGTTCGTCTGCACACAGGTTCATGATTACAGTTTCAATTCGTATGACTCGACGAACCTGAGACAAATACTTCAGTCCAATTAACCATTACAGTTAAAGGCGGAATGAAATACTTTCTTGACCGGAATAATTCCGAAGATCAGCTCGCCCACACATTTAGCAGGAGACCAATTTGCTCCTCACGCCTATAGCAGAAATCAACACTGCAGGATCGATAAAATAGAAACCTGCAAGTTTGGCCTATACAATAGCTTTTTGTTTGTTCATTTAATGACTATTTATCATGTGTTTTGGTTAGTTTGGTTGGAATAACATAAGAATTATGAATTTAATGGGAGATAACATTCCTTCGGACTTACATTTGAACCCAGGACATTCCAGACACAGAGCAGGCGTCGTAACCTCTGGATATCAATATTTTACAGTATAATGGGTTTTTTTTAGAGCAAACCACTGATGGAGGAGCCAGACGCTTCTCCCGTGACGCGATTAGATTTGCTATCGGAACAGAAAGGCCTTGCTGTGACAATTAAACATTTCAGAAATTTTTTAAAAAAAGCCTCTTACGCCATATGGACGCATTCTTAATACCTCTGTGGAAACGTTTGCATTAATTTACGTTTCGGGTTTTGGTTGTCTTCTGGGTTGTAGCGCCGTGTAGTCTGGTACAAGTTTCATCGCCCTGATGACGGATAAGATGACCTTGAAATATGGATTTGGGGCTAGTTTTAAGGTCAGCTGGCATATCATCCCTTCACTCGACTTGATGAAAGTAGTGAAACTGTCGAAAGCTTAGGCAGGAGGAGACAAGCTGTCCAGTTGAATGCCAGAACATAATACCTCCAAATCCAAGTCACAATTTTTGAGATGTTAAACGCATTCAAAAAGAGTGGGTTGTCCGCTGAGGGCTGATTTTGGTTATTATATCGTGTTCGGATATTGAAACATGCTGCTCATATGTTTGCAGTTCCCTTCAATATCTCCAGGCACATTGAAACAGGTTGCGTCCGACTCAGTTCATACCCCTCCTGACCTCACACGATCTCATTCGACAGTTTGCATCCTCTGCGATTAAATCTCGTTTCTTCTCCGCTTAGCGGATGGACTATTAAAGCCACTTACGGCTTAAGACCACGTCCACATTATAAAGACACAATAGTACATGATCTAGCAGCTAAATAGCATAACCTATTGCGTACGTAGCCACGGTGGTCTAGCGGTCAGAACGTTGGCCTTGTAATCCTGGGGGTCTCGGGTTCGATTCCCGGCGGTGCCCGAATTTATAACTTGTGTTGGGCAAGGCCGTGGTCTAGGCAACACGGAGTTTTCCTCCGTGGCATCCCAACAATTACTCCAGTCACACACAGAAGAAGGCAATGGCAAAACACTTCTGGATCATCTGCCAAGAACATATATGAACAGGTCCCAGTCCGAGAAAAGGATGGAAGGATCCTGGTCATATGGACCTGTCGTCAGACAGAACACGAAATAATGCGGTTATAACGCTGGCCTTGTAATCCTGGGGGGTCTCGGGTTCGATTCCCGTCGGGGCCCGAATTTATAACTTGTGCTGGGCGAGGCCGTGGTCTAGGCAACACGGAGTTTTTCTCCGTGGCATCCCAACAATTACTTCGTTCACACACAGAAGAAGGCAATGGCAAACCCCTTCTGGATCATCTGCCAAGAACGTATATGAACAGGTCCCAGTCCGAGAAAAGGATGGAAGGATCCTGTTCATATGGACCTGTCGTCAGACAGAACACTAAATAAGTAAATAAATTGCGTACATACAATGACAGATGAGCCTTCAGCCTGTCTGTTACAATTAAATTAATAGACCTAACCTATACATAGTCTTCTATCATTACGTGGGCGTAATAAGCAGTATATAGTTTCGTGGTTTGTTGGTTGGTTGATGATTATTTGCTGTTGTTAATTGATTTGGGACCAAATTTGATAATATTTGTATGTTGTTATTACCGTTGACTTGACAGTATGACAATCATTTGCTGTTAAGTAATTTTGGACTTTATGGAATAATGTTATAAGTGTTGCCATGGTAATGCTGTTAAGGGAATCCTACTATTTGTATGTAATATAATCCCGATGTCATCATCATTGAATATAGCATGCCATAGATGAGTGAACAGTCTTTATTTCGGTTAATTG